CATGTGTGGTATCACCAAGCGTGCTGCACAGGATTTTGCTTACCATTTCCAAACAGAATCTCTCCTATAAAAGAATAATAAAACTAAGGTCTCAGAACAGAAGTCCAATGAGTCCTCTTTTTACACTTCTATATTTCAATCCCATTCCATACACTCCAGGATGCTGCTGACATGGGATATATATTTTGCTGTGAAACTTAGAATATGCATGGTATTCTCTTGACTTGATTGCCCAATGCAAATAGAATCGTAAGGCCCAATGCAAATAGAATCATAAGTGCAAATAACCCATGGACACGGGGGGCTCAACTGAAGTCCCACTTGGGTTAGAGGAGTAATACTTTCACAGTTTTACGAATCCAATGTGGCATTTTATACAACAGCATTTCTTGAATGGAGCTGCTGTAGTCATGCCTTGTGTGGAGCCCTTGGAGCTGCTGCACTCCGGGGAGGGAGGAACACAATGGATTGGAGGGGAGGGAGTAATGAACTTTGAACATAACAGAGGTTCATCTTTTAAAGGCACTGGGGTCTCCTGCTGACTGTGTGTGCTTCTGAGCTGTTCTTTATTGCCTTTTGATATCACTTGTGAAAGATGATAGTAATATTGCTGTTTGCTTTCATTTTATGGAGCCAGTTCTAAACTCTTCAAATCCACTTTTATGCAGACCAGGAGAGAGAAAAATGCTTTTATTAATTAAGTGGCACTCTCTTTGTTCCAGTTTCCCTGGTTGTGCTTATTACCTTGGCTGCTATGTGCACTTGGCTCTCTCAGGTCATTCTTCTCTAATGTGGTGGTGATGCAGGACAACCAGATGGTATCCAAACCCCTGTTTTAGAGGGCTTTCTCCTCTTGGCTGAGCAACCCTAGTAACTGAAGTCAAGGAAGCCCTATTGTGCGCTGAGGAATGTGGTGGGAAGCTGCTGTGCCCTTCCTAGCACACTCAGGGTTGGCATGAAGGAACTGGGGGAGCAAAGACCCATGTATTTAAAAGATCTCTCCATCTTCTTCCCACAAAGCATAACATTGCATAGCGAGTGTCGTACCTGCTCTGCTGGCTGACAACTGCAATTTGTATTTCATTTTGCCCAAGCCAACCCACAGAGCTTACATAAGTGTCTTTCTGTCCCATTCCATGTCAGACCAATTTTAAATTTAAATCCTAGTGCTGTGGGATATTGCCTAATCAGATTAGAGAGCACGTACCAAGTCTCTTTACTGCTGTATTGCCACTTTTTCTAGGTTGTTGTACGTAAGTCATAGGTTTTGAAGTCCTACTGTATATAAAGAATGTGGATTGGAGGTTAGAGGCTACTTCTATTGTTGTAATTTATTGTTATTATTACTTAGGGTGGGGGAAAAATATTTTTTCATAGCATGGAAGAAAATGCTACTCTCAACCCTATGGAATGAAACCATTTTTTCATGGTCAGATGCTGATTTGCTGTCTCGCCGTATAGGCACAAAAGTCCGTGCGCTGACACCACTGCCAGTAAACCCTCAGCGTGGTCTCCAAATGGAGTAGTGGCCTCAGCAGCAGTGGGGCAGGACAGATGCAAACTGCTCACTCCCCACCTCCATCCTCTGCAACCTGCTGAGCCTTTGGGCTTGTCGTGTGTGTGGTGAGGTGTTTGCCAAAGCTTGTGCGCTACGGTAAAGTTAAGCACCTCTCCATGTGTGATTGCTTGAACTACACATTTCAATCTCTTTTAATATTTAAACTGAACCCCCCTCACCCTCAATGCACACACGTGTCTGGGGTGGCTGGTGATGTTTCAGCCTCACATTCAGTATTGAAACAGGTCCGGGCAGCTTCCTCCCAGAGGACTCACAAAATCCCAGGGTCTTTGCTTGACTCATGAAGATTTTCTAACTAAGCCTCCGGTTTGTCTTTGTCATGGACTCTCACACTGGACTAAATCACTCGCTTTATTCCAGAGAGCCTTTAATGCACACAGAAAGCTCTCCAGAGTGTGACAGGGCTGGCACAGCAAGGGCAGGCTGTGTGCCCAGCACTCACCTGCAGAGCCTGTTTGTAGATATCCATGCTCCTGTTGGCTTGGTTCTTCAGTTCTGGGATTCAGCACAGATCCTGTCCTGGAGTGCCAGCCGCGACGAGGAGTTTATCTCTCGTTACGAGCTGACTAACAGATATACATACATTTATATATGTAGCGTTGGTTTATTTGAGGTTTTTTAACATTTTGGAGGTTCTTTTTCCACACATCCCCAACACACTCAGCCTCTTCCAGTACATTACGAGCTGACTAACAGATATGCATACATTTATATATATAGTGTAGGTTTATTTGAGGTTTTTAACATTTTTGGGTTTCTTTTTCCACCCATCCCCAACACACTCAGCCTCTTCCAGTACTTGGAAGCTCCTGCTGATGATAAACTACAACCCAAATGTGAATTGCGGCAACAACCACACCAAAAAAAATAATCTAATCTAAGGAGCTGTTGTAAAAGGACTAGAACCCCCTGATGATCCTCAGTCCAGCTTGTGCTGGCTAGAAGACACCCTTGCAGTTCTGTGTCTCCATCAGTAGGTGGTGCTGGTGACCTGCGCAATTGTTGGTGCGCTCTTGGAGCTGCACCGCAGCCTTCCCAACCTGCGGGTGGGGAGGTCAAAGCTTCGGCCTGGTCTCAATCCAGCCTCGGAACAGGAGCCCCATTTTGCCGACACAAGGGTCTCTGGATTTCCTCATGCATAAGGAAATGTGGTACCCGAACTGCTCAAGCTTTTGTCTACAGCCAGAAATGAGGGGGTTTGGTGCACAGAATTGGACAGGTTTGCATTGAAATATGGAAAACTGAGTCCACGGTTTTATGAAGGGGAGATGTCTGTACACAGAAGGACTCGTGAGGATGTGAAAGTACATAGATGGAGTTTTCCTCTTGGAGTCCCATCTTGAAGTGCAACAGAGAGGAAGGTTACAAGCATGATCCTTGTTTCTCTCACCCCAGCATACCTACAGGTGGCTCTTCAGGAATTTTGCAGCTTCCAACTGAAAAATTCTTTTTTTTTTTCCTTAATTTTTGGATGAGGCCTTATAATAAGCATTATAATCATGCAGTGATCTAAAATGAGAAGTTGACGAAAAGCACTGTTTATAGCAGCATCTTTACATGGGTTTTTATGTTTCTCTGAACATAATTTACAATTAGAAGTGAATGGCTAAAAATATCAATCTTCCTTTACACAGATTTGTAAATTGTTGTTGATCTTTGCATGGTGTCTTGGCCAATGTTGCCAACACACTTGTAGCCTCACACTGGCAAGTGTTTCATTTGCTGTGATGTCTGGTCTGAGGACTGATGACTGGCATATGCTAGAAGAAGTTAATAAGTGGAACCAGACAATAAATTGATCATTAATGGGTATATAGCAGACATACAGTAGACACTAGCTCACTGTTTTTTTTTCCAGCTGAAGTGGAGCTGTGGAAGTTTGCAGGAATTACATGTGCTTCAGAGTTGACTGAAATATCCTACATCATTTTTCATGATGCGTATTTCCTTCCGTGATTTTTTCCTTTGTTTATTTTTTTTAATCTATTTATTATTTTCTTTTCTTTATTTTCTTTATTTACTTCTTTGAGGGTAGCAGAGCACTGGAACAGGCTGCCCAGAGAGGTGGTGGAGTCTCCATCTCTGGAGAGATTAAAAATCTGCCTGGACACGTTCCTGTGCAACCTGCTCTGGGTGGACCTGCTCTGGCAGGGAGTTGGACTAGATGGTCTTCAGAGGTTCCTTCCAACCCCACATCATTCTGTGATTTAGATTTGGAAAATTTATATAGTACCAGTAACGGTTTTTTGCAAAGGTGCAAGAATGCTACCCACGGTAGGAAACAGACACTAAGGAGTGATTATTGCAGCCTGTTGTCTTGCAGTGCTTATAATTTAAGCTTAGTGAAACATTTTTCTTATATTAACAGCTATTTATGCCCACATGTAAAATTTAACATCATTACCCAGGATTAAGTCCTGTTGCTTGATCTGGTTTATTGTTTAATTCCTTTGGGAGTGTTTTAGAGAAAGGTGCTTCAGATAAGTGCACGCTGTTGATAACTTTTAAAATTCACTAAAAAAGGTGGCAAGTGCTGTTTCTTGATAGCCACAACTTCTTGTAAATAAAGGAACTTTGCAATCATGGGAAATCCCCTTTAGTTTTTCAAATGCAGAGTGATTAAATGGAATAGTTTCGTTGCCCAAGTTCTGGGCATGTATTCTATGTATTCTTTCTATGTATTATTTCCTGGCCTCTTAAATAGAAATCTCACTACTGATTCATGGTTTTTTGGTGTGTATATATATATATAAAATCTAGGCTGTGTGCCATATACACTATAGTGCTGCATTTTAAACTTGTTTTGTTTCTGTAGACTCATAAGAAGTCTATAGAGGAAAAAAATGAGTGACTGTGGCTTGGAGATTGTTTTGGGGGACTATGTTAGTTCTGCCCTGCTTCTTATGGAGTCGCGAAGAAAAAAATCCAAGAATCATAGAATCATAGAATTGCCCAGGCCGGAAGGGACCTCCAAAGGTCATCTAGTCCGACCTCCCCCCAGTCAGCAGGGACACCCCCAACTAGACCAGGTTGCCCAGGGCCTCGTCGAGCCTCACCTTGAATATCTCCAGGGATGGGGCCTCAACCACCTCCCTGGGCAACCTCTTCCAGTGCTCCACCACCCTCACAGTAAAGAACTTTCTCCTAATCTCCAGTCTAAATCTGCTCCCCTCCAGCTTAAAGCCATTGCCCCTCGTCCTATCACTACAGGTCTTTGTAAACAGGCTCTCCCTGGCCTTACTGTAGACCCCTCTCAGGTACTGGAAGGCTGCTATTAGGTCTCCTTGGAGCCTCCTTCTTGGAGGAGACGCCCATGTTTCAAAGCTCTGTGGGCAGCAAGGTCTCCAGGTCACCATATCTTTTTAAATTGCCCGAAGTCCTGCCGGAGCAAGCCTGAAGGTTGTGCTGTGGTGTTTTTCAGGTGGATCGAGGCGGCGGTAGGGGGTAGCGGACTGGGTGCCCCCCGCTCCCGGCCCTGGGGGGCTGTGGTTCTCCCGCCCGCCCCGTAGGGTCCCCGCCAGCCGCAAAGCTGCTGTCCACGTGGACTGGTGCTGAAATCTCCCGCCCGGCCGCTGCCAGAGCCTCTCCAGCCAAGCCCAGAGACATGGCGACAAACGGGACAAAAGTGGCAGACGGACAGATCTCCACCGAAGTCGATGCTTCGATCACCAACGACAAGCCTAAAACCTTGGTAGTCAAAGTGCAGAAGAAGAAGACGGACCTTCCAGACCGAGATACCTGGAAAGGAAAATTTGACTTTCTTATGTCCTGTGTAGGTTACGCCATTGGCTTAGGGAATGTGTGGCGATTTCCATACCTTTGTGGCAAGAATGGTGGAGGTATGTTTGCTGTTTCATTCTTACAACCTCTGATATATTTGCATATTGTAATTCACCATAAAAACGATCAGTAAAGCAGAACTTGGTTTTAATAGCTTTTTCATCTGTATAGGTGTTTTTAGGTTTTGGAGCTCTTTGGTTTTGTTTTCTGGGGGGGTTGGGGGTTTTCTTTTTTTCTTTACACTTTTCCAGGAGGGCTGGAGCCATTTTGGAGCGTGACACTCTGCTTTGAGGTCTGCTCTGGAGTTTATTCTAACTTTATTTGGCAGTTGCCCTTCAAAGACCATAAGGCATTAGAGCAGAACAAAAGCACGTTGCTCTCCAACCCTTCAGAGTCCTCTCTTTTGGAACTGAGTTTTTGAGAGGATTGCATGCGGCTTATACTGCTGACTGAGTGTACCAGAAAAGGCTAAATTCAGCTGGAAAGCAGCCAGTTGTGGTTAAAACTGTGCTATATGCACGCTCCTGTGAGAGATGAAGGCAACAAAATACGGAGTCTTTTGGATGTTAGCTTTTTACTTAAACAGAAAATATTTAAATGATGAGGTGATATATTTTTCCCCTTTTTTCACCTCTTGAGATACTGGTTCAGAAGTTTACATGTGCTTTCCACTAACTTTTTTGAAAAGTTACTCTTAAAAGCAAAAACTCATGGGTTTCTTTTCATATATAGATATATATAGAAATATATAGGTATATATTTCATATATAGATGAAAATAGTGGAAACTCAGTAGTGTTTTTCCCCACTGTAACAGACTTCTTATTTCTTTTCAGGCGCATTCCTGATTCCCTATTTCCTTACTTTGATTTTTGCTGGAGTGCCACTGTTTCTTTTGGAGTGTTCCCTTGGGCAGTATACATCTATAGGAGGCCTTGGAGTGTGGAAGCTTGCTCCGATGTTCAAAGGTACAGTAGGAATTCGGGTTACTTTCCATTTGTTTCCAAATTGCAGAAGTTGCACAAAGTGACAGGGCAAAGATGTTTATGACTTCATGGTTTCACTTAAGCCATAATTTTCTACAGAAAACCACTAATTTTCTGGGGTGTAACTGGAAGTTTTGAATACTAGGGTGTTATTCAGTCCCTATTAAAAATAGCAAGACTTAGGCATGAGAATCTCAACAAACTTATTTTTGAACTTAAAAAATCTTTAATTTTTGTTAGGAACATATAAAGACTGTTCAAACATATTAGATCTAGCAATAGTTGTCTGAACAGCTGTAGAACTCTGTTCACAGCAAATTGGTCAACATTGTTTCTGTTTGAGGTCACAGAGGTTTGTGTCTCGTATTGTTCTTTATTGAAACTCAAAAGCCAGACACTTCAAGGATGGCAATTTCACGCCGAGTTGCTTAAGACAAGCTCAGGCTGTACTTAGATTTTTAGCTAGTTTGAGGTTGTTCCTGCTAGAACCTCAAGGTTTTAATTTACAAACCTCACAAACTGTTCTTTTCACTGTATAGTCCCAAATCCTTTGACACTTAAGGGCTCCTGAGCTGACTTCTGGACCAATAGTGGAGCAAATTACACATTGAGTTTTAAATTACTAAATTACTTCACACAATAGACTGACAATTAGCATAGGGTGAGCTACAAGTTTGTTTAGAGTGGATTTTGTTCTAGGAAATTTTGTATTGGGAAAACCCAGAGAGGTGAAAGTGTTTCTTACAGATAAGTATTTTAATTTTGGTGGAGTTACTGCTGTTGGTAGGGGGGCACAGTGCAAAGTGTAGACCTTGCTTTGCATTACACTGATTATTTTGAGCACTTCCTTCCTGTTTAGTGTCATGTGGCAACAGCTTGAACCAACTGTCACCTAAAATACCCCTGAAGTCTCCATGTGGGAGTAGTCTTATTTTGCCTACATCTGCCAGAAGTTTCTGTGAGACTGCTGTTTCAGAGAATGAGCTGATTTAGCTCTTTTCCTGAGAAGTAAAAAAATAAATCTGTAGTGTCTCAGCAGCAGATGTGACTGCTCACTGCAACACACAGAGAACTGGACACTAGATTAAATTTATGGATGACTGAACTATCACCCAAATTAAGGACCTTTTTAAATGGCATTTCTAAAAGTTTAACTCAGCTCCTACAAAATTTGGGAAATGGTATCTGCCCCATATGTTGCATTTGTTCTTCTGAACCACAGCTTTTCAACTGACACTTGCACAGATGTTACTAAAAGTTGTTTTCTTTTCTATCTTTTTGTTTTCTTTACAGGTGTGGGATTAGCTGCTGCAGTCCTTTCCTTTTGGCTAAATATTTACTACATTGTGATTATTTCCTGGGCCATATACTACCTGTACAATTCCTTTACCACTGTAAGTGTTTACGTTGGAGGAGGGGTTGGAATTGTGTGTGGAATGTAAAGCAAAGTGATATGGAGGTAGTAAAGCCAAGTGACGTATCGACGGCTGATTGATCTGTCTCACTGTAAAGGTGTGAGGTTAACACAAAACGCATAGTAGGATAAGCCATTTCTTACTAAAGGAAAACTATTTTGTAAAGATTCCTTTTTAATTTTTTTTTTTCTCCACTAGAAAGGTAGACTAGAAAACTATGAGGAAAATATTCTGTTCCAAGAGTGTCAGTGGAGAAACATAATAATAGGTCATTTTGGTGCCACAGGCTTCTCTTTCTTGGTGATTTGCTTAAATTCCCTCATTTCAATCTTCAGAGCCACAGCTCTTTCATCTGTACCCTTTTAGTGTCACTTCTTACGGGTCTCTGCACTTGAATCACCAGTGTTTCTGGCTGCTGCTCTGCCTCCCTGCCAGGGCACTGCAGGTCACGCTCAGGCATCGGCCTCCATGTCCTGGCCATGCCCACGAGAGCACGAGGGTCCCTTTGCCTTGGAGCCCACAGGCCAGTCACTCCCCCCAGAAAAATTCTAGCGTGTCAATGACTTTTTTTTGGTCTTCAATAGCAGCCGCACAACTGTTAGTTCTTTGGGAAATAGTATTGTTCCAATGTGTTTGAATAGTGGAGGGGTGTATTAAAGAAATCCCCATGGAATGGAAGGTTTGAGTTGATTAGCTCTAAACTTCCATTCATTGTTATTTTCACTGTGTTTTCTTTCCTTTTAGCCTTATTTTTAGCTGCCTTTTTTTTCCCCTCAAGGATGATTCATCAGCTGAGTATGCCTTGTCTGATTTGTGGGTTTTGGCCATCTGAGGAAGCATTCTTACATAAGTCTCAATAATTAATGCATTATTGTTCAATTGTCTCTTCTACAAATTTCATTCATGCTTGCTTGTTCTCAGCTTTAAAGACCTGTCCCTTGACCAAATTTGCATTAATTACTGTCTGGGAGTGACACGATAATTTCTTTTTTTGTTATCCTCGGATTTGTTATTGATGTGAAAGGTCAGTCGTAGTCTGGAAGTGGTGCACTGGCCCATATTAGATGAATATTAACTTCTAATTCCCTGGAAGCCTCTTATCCTTATATTTAAAACATGCAGTACCCTGATCCAACATTTTCTGTGAGAGGATTTTCCAAGACTGGCCGTCAGAAGAATATCTAAGTTGTATCTAAATGAGATTCATTCTCATGGATATGATGTGGAAACAGGTTGTTCTTCTCAGAACTTCTGAAAGATACCTTAATGTAAAGGACACGTGTAGAAAATAGAAAGTTTACATTTTTCTAATTGTCCTCTTGACCTCAGGGGAAAATGGAAACCTCCGATCAATAACCATCACACCTTTATTACCTCTAGTGCAACAAGAGGTAGCGGGGCCTCCAGGATGTCCTTTCTGCTGCCCTTGTTTTCTTGTAGCACCTGCAACTGCCCTCACGTGCTGAGAGGTGTATCAGACTCCAAAGTGTTTGGGCTGATGTAGGAAAGAAAGGAAGAAATATTTTCACATCTGATTCACACAACTGATACAGAGTTCAATAACTTGTGTGGCAGATGTGCACCCCCAGGGTGATCAGTGCACCCCAGAACTCAAAGTGTATTAGAATCATAGAATCATACTCCATGTGGGAGTAGTCTTATTTTGCCTACATCTGCCAGAAGTTTCTGTGAGACTGCTGTTTCAGAGAATGAGCTGATTTAGCTCTTTTCCTGAGAAGTAAAAAAATAAATCTGTAGTGTCTCAGCAGCAGATGTGACTGCTCACTGCAGCACACAGAGAACTGGACACTAGATTAAATTTATGGATGACTGAACTATCACCCAAATTAAGGACCTTTTTAAATGGCATTTCTAAAAGTTTAACTCAGCTCCTACAAAATTTGGGAAATGGTATCTGCCCCATATGTTGCATTTGTTCTTCTGAACCACAGCTTTTCAACTGACACTTGCACAGATGTTACTAAAAGTTGTTTTCTTTTCTATCTTTTTGTTTTCTTTACAGGTGTGGGATTAGCTGCTGCAGTCCTTTCCTTTTGGCTAAATATTTACTACATTGTGATTATTTCCTGGGCCATATACTACCTGTACAATTCCTTTACCACTGTAAGTGTTTACGTTGGAGGAGGGGTTGGAATTGTGTGTGGAATGTAAAGCAAAGTGATATGGAGGTAGTAAAGCCAAGTGACGTATCGACGGCTGATTGATCTGTCTCACTGTAAAGGTGTGAGGTTAACACAAAACGCATAGTAGGATAAGCCATTTCTTACTAAAGGAAAACTATTTTGTAAAGATTCCTTTTTAATTTTTTTTTTCTCCACTAGAAAGGTAGACTAGAAAACTATGAGGAAAATATTCTGTTCCAAGAGTGTCAGTGGAGAAACATAATAATAGGTCATTTTGGTGCCACAGGCTTCTCTTTCTTGGTGATTTGCTTAAATTCCCTCATCTCAATCTTCAGAGCCACAGCTCTTTCATCTGTACCCTTTTAGTGTCACTTCTTACGGGTCTCTGCACTTGAATCACCAGTGTTTCTGGCTGCTGCTCTGCCTCCCTGCCAGGGCACTGCAGGTCACGCTCAGGCATCAGCCTCTGTGCCCTGGCAATGCCCACGAGAGCACGAGGGTCCCTTTGCCTTGGAGCCCACAGGCCAGTCACTCCCCCCAGAAAAATTCTAGCTTGTAAATGACTTTTTTTTTGGTCTTCAATAGCAGCCACACAACTGTTAGTTCTTTGGGAAATAGTATTGTTCCAATGTGTTTGAATAGTGGAGGGGTGTATTAAAGAAATCCCCATGGAATGGAAGGTTTGAGTTGATTAGCTCTGAACTTCCATTCATTGTTATTTTCACTGTGTTTTCTTTCCTTTTAGCCTTATTTTTAGCTGCCTTTTTTTTCCCCCCTCAAGGATGATTCATCAGCTGAGTACGCCTTGTCTGATTTGTGGGTTTTGGCCATCTGAGGAAGCATTCTTACATAAGTCTCAATAATTAATGCATTATTGTTCAATTGTCTCTTCTACAAATTTCATTCATGCTTGCTTGTTCTCAGCTTTAAAGAACTGTCCCTTGACCAAATTTGCATTAATTACTGTCTGGGAGTGACACGATAATTTCTTTTTTTGTTATCCTCGGATTTGTTATTGATGTGAAAGGTCAGTCGTAGTCTGGAAGTGGTGCACTGGCCCATATTAGATGAATATTAACTTCTAATTCCCTGGAAGCCTCTTATCCTTATATTTAAAACATGCAGTACCCTGATCCAACATTTTCTGTGAGAGGATTTTCCAAGACTGGCCGTCAGAAGAATATCTAAGTTGTATCTAAATGAGATTCATTCTCATGGATATGATGTGGAAACAGGTTGTTCTTCTCAGAACTTCTGAAAGATACCTTAATGTAAAGGACACGTGTAGAAAATAGAAAGTTTACATTTTTCTAATTGTCCTCTTGACCTCAGGGGAAAATGGAAACCTCCGATCAATAACCATCACACCTTTATTACCTCTAGTGCAACAAGAGGTAGCGGGGCCTCCAGGATGTCCTTTCTGCTGCCCTTGTTTTCTTGTAGCACCTGCAACTGCCCTCACGTGCTGAGAGGTGTATCAGACTCCAAAGTGTTTGGGCTGATGTAGGAAAGAAAGGAAGAAATATTTTCACATCTGATTCACACAACTGATACAGAGTTCAATAACTTGTGTGGCAGATGTGCACCCCCAGGGTGATCAGTGCACCCCAGAACTCAAAGTGTATTAGAATCATAGAATCATCTAGGCTGGAAGGGCCCTTAAAGATCATCTAGTCCAACCATCAACCCAACTCTTATTAGTTCCCCACTGAACTGCCATTTCTAGTAAAGGGAGAGATACCCGAGGTAATGCTCACTTAAAAAGTGTTTGACTGCTTAGTTTTTTTTCTCTCTCTTATTTCTATTTAGACTCTTCCTTGGAAACACTGTGAGAACCCATGGAACACTGACCGCTGCTTCTCCAATTATACCTTAGCAAACACCACCAACATGACAAGTGCCGTAGTGGAATTCTGGGAGTAAGCTGATAATTTTCCTCTGTATCCTTCCTGTGCATGTGCAAGGATCAGCTTGTTGTCATTCCTGTACTGTCTGCTGAACCAGTTGTCAAACACTCCCTTCTGTTGGTTTATTCTAGACGCAACATGCACCAAATGACTGATGGATTGGAAAAACCAGGGCAAATCCGATGGCCGCTAGCAATTACTCTAGCAATTGCCTGGATTCTGGTGTATTTTTGTATCTGGAAGGGGGTAGGCTGGACTGGAAAGGTAAGATTAAAAAGTACTGTAAATACATTTCACTTATAAATGCCCATTTTACTCAAATATTCTGAAAATTCTTGAGGTAAGAGGCACTGGGGATAGTTTTTCTGCAATAGTTCCATGAAGTGTTTAATTTCTATCTATCTTGAATTGATGCAGCACCGTGCTTTTGAAAGAGCTGGCTCCTCTGTAGCCAACTCTTGGATGGTACGGTCACTTACAGACTTGTTGGCTTGAACAGGTATAAAATGGCCTAAAAATATGTCTGCTTGTTACTGGGATGAATATTCTAGGTAGTTTGGCCAGCAATAGAGTGAGGATGCAGTGTTTTGGCTTCAGTGAGAAGCGTCCATTTATTGCACAGCTGTGCAATATGGAGATGTTGAAGCTGTTTTGGATAGAAGAGTTACTCCCTGCATTCCCTATGCTAAACGAGAGCTGTAGGTGGATCTTACCATGGGTGTGCTTTCACATTGAGCTTCCTGGAGTCTGGCTGGTTTCTGAGCACAAAACAGAATTTACTAATGAATTAAAGGAAATTATACTATTGACAGACCTGTCTCCAGGAATGAAAAGGCAAGAGCATCTGACATTGGCATATACGTCTCTCTCTCGCCCTGAAATGGCCGGAGGAAATCTTAGGGAAATGAAAAGCCACAGCCATGAGGCCTGGTGGCAACTGAAGGCCTGGGTTCTAAGTCCTCAGGCCTGGAGGAGAGGACTAGGATTTTTTTTCACACTGAAAGAATGAATTGTTAACTTTTGACAAGATGGTTGTAACTGTGCCCCACCTCAAGCCACACGTTGAGCACAGCCTAGTTGAGCTCAGAACAAAACCATTTCAATTCTCCTGTCTGCAAAGAAGGTGGCAAAAAAGGGCTGACTGTGTCTTTGGAGTCTGACTTCAATTGTATCAAACACAGGTGAGGAGAGAGTGTTAAAAATACAAACACAGCTGCCTGAGAGCGGGGTAACTCTGTACCAGATGTTGTTCTACAGCAGGACAGGAGTACTAGGACCTTGTCTTTTAGGGAGCTCCCCTTGTTGAATACAAAACAAGAAAAGCATGAGCCCCTGGTGCAAAAATCTCCCAGCCCACCAAATCCCACCTTCAGGAAAGCCAGCAACAGCCACCTCCTTGCAGACATGGTGTTCAGGGAATTCTGTAGCAGGCACTCCCCTTTCCTCACCAAGCTTTTCCATCCATAAATGCTTCTATTTTAAAAGCCAGCCTCAGTCGCTGCTAGTGTTTATAGGGAGCAAATATTTTCTGAAGTGTTAACGAGCACCGATCATTCTTCCTGCCACACTTACAATGTCTTGTTTCTTCACATCAGGTGGTATATTTCTCTGCTACTTATCCCTATGTTATGCTGCTTATCTTGTTCTTCCGTGGTGTAACACTGCCTGGAGCAAAGGAAGGCATTTTATTCTATATAACTCCCAACTTCAGTAAGCTTTCAGACTCTGAGGTAAATATTTAATCCTTGTAAACAGAAGTTTCACTGCTAACTGTTCACCTTTCAGACATATGACCTGCTCCTCAAGTGCAGAAACAGATTTTTAAAAAAATTATTTCCTGCAATCAGGTTTGGCTGGATGCTGCCACACAGATTTTCTTCTCCTACGGTTTGGGTCTTGGTTCACTGATTGCCCTTGGGAGTTACAACCCTTTCCACAATAATGTTTACAGGTAAGCAGATGACTGCCCATATTGCAATGGCACTTCCCCGTCCCAGCGGGAGCTGGATTCTGTCTTTCTGTATCATTGAAATAAAGTGTAGTCTCAGATCTCAGTATTAAATGGCATATCCAACCAGGAGTGAGAGGTGTAACTGCTTTGGCACTAATGGGAGAGACAGTAGGACTCATCCAGCATGAAATGGAACCCAAACCGTGAAATCCTAACCCGTGACATCTTTTCACAGGAAAAATGGGTAATATAGTGATGACCAGTAGCATTGCTTTACCCACTGCTTAAAGCACCTTCCCTCTATTGCAGGGACTCCATCATAGTGTGCTGCATAAACTCATGCACGAGCATGTTTGCTGGCTTTGTCATCTTCTCCATTGTTGGATTCATGGCTAATGTCACAAAGAGGCCTATTGCAGATGTTGCAGCATCAGGTATCCAATATATTTTTCTCTGAATTGTTCAGTGGCATCAGTTACTTTCTGTTTGTATGTTGTATCCAGCTGCTTGTTCAAAATGCCTCCCCCAAACATTCCTCTGCTCCCTGTCATTTCGGTCGCCCTTACCGATGGCCAAAGGGGGGGTATGGATTCAGAGCTCTCAAGGCAGCACCAGCAAAATCCTTTCACGTGGAGCAGCCCCTCCTCGTGCTCTCAGACATTTGGTGTGGAGACTCATCCTGGGCTGATGCAATTAATGCTAATGAATATTGCTTACCCGGGCTGCGTTTCCAAGAGGTGGCAGCACATTTAGCTGCTTCAGTGCTTGGCTGGGACATCACATTGTGACCCTCTCATGACTGAAATCCTTAAAAGCAAACTGAAAGGAAGAACAACCGTCATTATGTTTTAGGAGCCAATATTCTCACATTCAGTCAGGTTTTTACATTCTATTTATGGTTTCTTGAGGTTAAGCCCTTTGAGGCAGATCCATTTCTCACCTGTTCAGACCTACTGCTATCAGCCAATTTTATGGGACCCTTAATTATGAAAGCCATTTTACTCAGGGCAGTCAGATGTCCACGGAAGGATTCTGCTTTTTTTTTTTTTTTTTTTTTTTTTTTTTTTTTGCAGTTTCTTGTCTTTCTTCCAGATGAAAAAGCTTAAAGTAGCAGAGCAGATGGTTGCCCTAACCCAGCTGGTGCACCAGATACTCATTTAGCAGTTCTGGCCACAGGGAGGGATCTGATCACTGAAAGCTTGGTTGGAAGTCGCTGGTGGACAAAATATGTCTTATTACACTAGAAAACATATCCCATTGATGAAATTTTCCCCTCCTTAGAAAAGCAGAGAATTTAAACCCTAAAAATAATCAATAAACTACAAAGAAATTAGCAAAAAACTTATGATGGCATATACTGCTGTCAAAAACGGCTCTGGAAAGCCAGTGGTGTGTGAAATAAGCTGCTTGGATTTATGTATTTGATACAGATGTAACTATATAAAGACTCCACCTGCAAACAAAACAATATTTTTATATCATATTAAGCTCCTAAATACATTTTAAGGTACCTGAGATAATAGACTTTTCAAAGATGCGCACGACCTGCTGTGGCCAGTAATTGCAAAAGATATTTGGAAATCTGACCTTTTAATTAAGGCTTCTATTCCTTCTCACGAGCTCAGAAACTGGTGCTTTTTTTAGCACCATGAGATGTTGTTTTGCAACCTGTTGTAGAGCTTTGTAAAACAAACAGCTGCGGCTGCACTTTGGCGGAATGTGTAAGACAGTAAAATTAAGAACACATTTATCTTAAGTTTATTTGCCTTTACTACTGCCATTTGGAAGGCATTCCAATCATACCTGCTGTCACTGGCTAATAATTGCTTCAAAATATGCATTGAAACAGACTTTTGTCAATTACTTTGACAATTCAGGTGTCTATTGCCAATCCTTGCTTTTCAATAGGTCTGAAAGCTATATATGTCCAACCAATTATCACAGACAAGCTCACTTTTAATGAAAACTGAGAAATTGGATACTCCCCTTGGGTGATGCACACCCATTTTATTTCTGTGATTATTTCGTCTGCTACAGGTATCACTCTTAACCTGACATCAGCTGGTTTCCAGCCAGGCTATGACAACAGAAAGAGTTCCTTCTTTGTTAAAAAGAATTCATATTCTCCTTCCAACCCTGTGGCAGTTGGTAGGAACACAAATGGAAGGGTTTGCCTCTTTAAAACTACATGGTTTATCAAAATGTATATTTTATGATAATTAATGGTTTAATAAGAATTTATATTCTCCTTCCACCCCTATGGCAGTTGGTAGGAACACAAATGGAAGGGTTTGCCTCTTTACAACTACATGGTTTATCAAAATGTATATTTTACAATAATTAATAGAATGGAATAGCAAATGGGGATACTGTAAATGCTGGAAAGGGTCTTCTCCATTTCTGAGCTGTCTTTGTGTTGTTTCTGAACCACTTGGTGCAAAGCAGGAGACCCCAGCTCTCAGTAAGTACTTGAGAGGGAGAGCAGGCTGAGCTGAAGATGAAGATCCCTTGCCAAGGCATTCCCTGGTTTTGCTGTACAAAGGTGTCTCTCAGGAGTAGTTACTGAACTGCAGCTAGTATTTTGCTTGCTTGGTTGGTTTTTTGTGTGTGTGTTTTGTTTGGTTCATTTTAAAAGCAATCTCCATGCCCTGACTTCTTTGTCAGTGACCACTGGTTAAGCTGAAATCCCTGGTCAGATGCCGCATCCACGGCTGAGTCATTCAAATAAACCTATCATCAGGAGCAAATAATGCCAACACCCAATCAATAACACTGCCCTTTTCTCTCCTGTTTCTCCTCCCAGGCCCTGGGCTGGCATTTCTGGCTTATCCAGAAGCAGTGACACAGTTACCCATTTCTCCTTTGTGGGCAATACTGTTCTTCTCCATGTTGCTGATGCTGGGAATTGACAGTCAGGTAAAACTGGTGTAAAAATTACTAACAAAGACCCATTTTCTGCAGCTGTGTGGGACGAGGCTGGCCTCTCCTTGTGCATTCTGCACTGCCAGCTGCCACTGCTGCCGAACGGTGTCTGGAATAACCAGATAAATAACTGCAGGAACTAAGGAGAGGAAAGAGTAAGAGGTTCAAGGAGCCTGGGATACTAAAAAACTTACTAAGACACTTCTTCATGAACTGCTGGAAGCATATACAAAATGTGCAGGAAATCTATTCTGCAGACAAAGGGAACTTTCTTTGAAATCTTAACTGTTCAATCACAGTATTAAAAACACCTTTACAGTGCTCATCAGAGTAGGAGCCACCAGGATATGCTTTACAAGGGTTAGATGCCATAAATGTTTCTGAAAGGCAACTTCAGAACTTGCCACATGGAGAAAAAAGATGCAGCACATGTGTCATTTTAATCATATGAACGTCAGGAGCAAATTTGGGAGGCTGAAGGCTCATTACTGGGGCCATTCTGCATCTCAGTGTGTTCTGAAATCACTTCCCACTGGTAAGGATCAGGACTTCAGTGGTTCAGGCCTTGGTAAGAGCTACAGGCAGTATCTGACAACTCAAAGTTAAAGGGAAGGCAAAACCTAGAGGTTTTGCAAATCCAAGTAAGATACTGCTCCAGAGCTACTGTCTAGATTAAATAATGACATAATTAACTCATGCAATCATTGAAATATGTTTATTCTTTATTGCAGAAAAAACAGAAAAGCACACAGAACAGGCAAAAGCACTCCACATGCTAGAAAGGACTATGCCCAACAAAAGCATTCATTAATCAGCAATAATTTTAACACAGATAGCGACTAAAGAAAGCCCCCTGCCTTATTTTGCAATAAAATATCAGAGGACTTTGCCAGGGAAGTCCCTTCTGGCCACTGAGATGTTTCCATCACTTGTATGTGACCAAATGCCTTAATCTTAAACCAGTTGCAGTTGTCAAACCAGCACCATAGAGCTGTTAGCACCATCTCCATAGCACATAAAGGAATATATAATGACTAGCTTAGTACCCTACTAGTCTTTCAGTAGAGAAAAATCCATCATTTTCTATAAATCCAAGTTGACTTTAGTCTCTGAACCAAAATATAAGAAGACCAAGAGGGCATTTTATCCTGCAACATGAAAGGAAGCTGGAAATGCATGTTTTCTATTTCTTTGTTTTTCAGTAAGCTTCAGGCTTGACATTAAAACCTATTGCTCAATCTAGGGAGAAACTGCTCTGAAATTAGTTGGGTCAAAAATATTCTTGAAAGAACTTGTCTCTAGGCAACTACCAGCTGAGGAAGGTAGTCTAATATTATTAAAAAGAATATATATCTACAGGCTGTCATGCTTTCTTCATTTTCTGTCTATCAGTGAAATATTTCATATACTGTAATTTATAGGAACTAGATCTGTTGGTTAAATTCTGATTGCAGTGCTGGGAATTAATAAAAATCTACATACTTTCTGATTTTCAGCTGCCATAATGACATTTATTTTGAATATATGCATAGACTCAAAATCTACAGTATGGCCATACTTTCCATTTGGGAGACCACATCCTCAGCAAAAATCTTACTATTGCATTTACTTTTCTGGGGCTACAAAAAGCATTTAATTTATAACATATAAGAATCAATCTTGTGTCTTTAAGCTTCACTCTGAAGCATTGATCTGATTATACTTTTTGTGTCTATTGGCTTTCACCTGTGTGAGTAAAGGATCCAGGGATTAAAGCCTTCAACTGTAGGTGCATTCTTTTCTATCACAAGAAAGAGCATTTTATAGTCGGAAAGCACATGCTGTAGTTCATAATTTGGAGTTTTGAGTGTGTTTCTAGCTGGAAATCTTTTTAGAGAGAAATGAGGATATCCAGAAGCTCTGCTTCCACTGAAGTCAAGTGAATTTTCATTCATCATTTAATGGACGGGGCCTTAGGCCAGTGATGAGTAGTGTTGAAAACTCCTTCCCTGGGTGTAACCCCGCCATCATAGTGCATTGCATTGTATTTGATTTCTGACTTTACTTGCAGTTCTGCACTGTGGAAGGATTCATAACAGCTTTGGTGGATGAATTCCCAAAGTTGCTGCGCAACCGAAGAGAAATCTTCATTGCTGTTGTGTGCATCGTTTCCTATCTGATAGGGCTGTCCAATATTACTCAGGTATGTTCTGTAGAACAATGTCAGCTTCTGTCATTTTAATTGAATTCTAGCAATAATCTCATTTTTGTCAGTATTGACCTCAAGCATTACAAGACTTTAACCTGTTAACTTTAATTAATTTACATTAATATATCCCTAACCTATTTGCCACCGTTATTTGTAGCTTGCATTTTAATCTGTCTTGAAATTACAGTCCTTACCCTTAATTTTAACACTTTCTTCTTATATGTTTTAGGGTGGAATCTATGTGTTTAAGCTTTTTGACTACTACTCTGCCAGTGGAATGAGTCTCTTGTTCCTTGTATTCTTTGAGTGCATCTCGATATCCTGGTGCTACGGTAAACAATATGGGTTTCATTTTTTTCCACAAGTTTTGCACATCAGAAGGATATTTCATCTACTCATTTGTTCGTTTGTGTGAGGGTGGAAGTGAAATTGGCCTTGGTTTATGTGCATATAATTCCACTGAGAACTCAAAGTTGGCTTGTGGAAGGTACTTCTGCCTCTTTAAAACACCCTGTGTGTAATCCTGGAAGTCGTTAGATGCCAAGTGTTTCAGGAATACTAAATAGGTGACATCTCCCTCTTTTTTCCTGTCCCCTTTGCTTGGGAAGCCTGGATCTTCAGAGGTGTTGGGCTCTGCTCTTCTCAACATAATGACTTAAGTCTTTTGGGCTTCATAATGTTTCATTTCCAGAAATTACTCTCTCACTCTGGGATCTTTCAGAGAGAGCCAGCCTGCTTGGTCCATTATATCTTGCATAATTGCCCGAAAATATCCAGAAGTCTGGACTGACAAGCTCTGGGCATAAAAATTAATGAACATGTATCATACTCTTGCCAGAGAATTTGTACATTTGACCTTAGTTCTGCGTTAGCGAGTCCAAGGACCCACTGCCCTGGTTATAAGGCACTTCACTTCCATTACAAATCTGATGCAGGGCTAGATAAGAGGAGTCTCTCTGCTGGCTTTAATGGGCTTAAGAGGATGGAACAGCATTTTATGGGGGAGAGACACTGCGTACGAATCCAGCAAACGCAAATGGAAAAATACACCAGCTAGGAAAATGAACAAATCAAATCCAAAGTTATAAATAATATAGACATATCTTCTAGAAGACGATGGAGGGCTGGCAGATAATGGCAGCAAAAGGGCTGCTCTTTGACTTCCCAGGCAGTTCTGCATGTGTATGAGGTGTGTGTACCCACACAGACTGAAGCTGGGTAGCACTAGGATGGATTATTTAGATTTTTTAATTTAATTTGAAAAATATCATTCTAAATCTCTCATCCTAATAAGACTTAGAATTTAAATTAACCAAAAGGGATATATTGCATCTGACCTTCAGATGTACAGAGTTCCTCAGCCTTTCCATGGGAATGAGTTTGCTGGTTGGTAATTAATTAATTACAATGTGGAAGAATGAGAACAAATGATTCTTGGTGCTTCTGAGTTTGCACATTTCTTTCCCATTCAGAGAGGTGAAAAGTTCTGTTGGGGTCTTTATAGAGCTTCCAGATATACCTCATCATTTATGACAGTGTCTCTCAAAACCACCGAGCTTTCAATTGCATCAGTTATCTGATATCTCCCCGTACTGTTTCTTATTTCTACATTTAGGTGTTAATAGATTTTATGACAACATCCAAGAGATGGTGGGATACAGACCCTGCATCTGGTGGAAACTCTGCTGGTCGTTTTTCACTCCTATCATTGTGGCAGTAAGGAACCAACTTTTATTCTATGATTCAAAGGGTGTAAAGGAGGTGGGCTGTGCACCACAGCCTCGCCATTCCCACCCCCACGTGTTCATGTTAACCCTGAGCTCGTTCCTTTGGGAAGGACCTGAGCCATTCCAGTGAAGGGAACAGCCAAAACCCAGGGTCATTAGAGGAAGCCTGTGCCCTGAGGCAACACCCAGGGTCATTAGAGGAAGCCTGTGCCCTGAGAAAAGCAGCCTTGGCCAGTTTCAAGATGTGTATTAGTCCTCGGGAAATGGTAACTTGTCAAGAGTTTGACTGGCAGGGATAGAAAACTGTAAGAAACAGATTTGGACCATTTCTTGTATTTTTACACAAAATTTAGCAATCTCTCTAAAGTCTAAATTTTGCACATACACAAAATGAACTCAATTCCTTCACAGGAACCATTCTCGTAACAGACTAGGATTATTCTGGTAACAAACTGGGATTATAAACCGATGTTCTTCTCTCCTGGGGTTCTGTGGAATATATTACCTGGTTTATACTACATTGCTACTGGGTTTTGTGGCAAAACTTGCAAGGATTTTGTGTGCTGGAAACCACAGTACAGTCTTTTCCTGCTTTGAAGCTTTATCCAGTTAAGCACATACAGTCCTATTTGAACTAATAAGCAAAGTAATGCAAATTTACTACATTATTTACACATAAAGTAGTCTACCCAGATGCAACATAAAACCACTGTAATCAAGTAGACACTACGACACAAGACTTCCCACTCACTGATACTTCTCTGATATTCCCATGTAGGTAGCCCAAGGCCATAGAAAAGCAAACAAAGAGCACTAAAGAGAGCCACAGAAATGTGTTTATACTGAGGGTTCCTTAGTTCATCTCTACCCAGATGAAGGTGGCTTTCATTTTTCTGAAAAAAAGTGGTCAGGAAGGCAGAAAAAAAAAAAGGAATTTTGTTTATTTCAGGGATATAGCAGGAAGACGACCAATATTGTATGTAAAACTTACCAGATTTCTCCTGTCTTGTAAAGTCTTCAAGGGAATTTGTCATCCAGTGCAAGTTCACAGGTGGTGATGATGTGCTAGTAAAATCTGGGGAATATGTTCTGCACAAGCCAGAACCTGGGATGAGGATGAGCTTCCTCCTTTGCTGGTTCAGCTGAGCAGGTCTCCCTGACACAGGCTGCTTTAGAAACTGGAAATAGGCCCAAAGAGGAGTTTTCCTTGGGAATTTAAAGTAAAATATTTGCAGGTCATCTATTTGAAAACACCACAAAAGCAACTCACCAGTCGTGGATGGCACAGTACAGATGTGTAAGCAGGAATTATTCCCCAGGGCCCCACCCTTCCCAGCAGCCCCCTTCCCTCCCACTCTGCACAGGTTATCCCAGGGCTCTGCTGGTACCAGCGGGTATCGCTGGGGGTATCTGAGATGCAGGTTATGGATGTGAAAACACGGTGTTAAATTGAAACACGAAGATTAATTTTGGTAAGGAGCCTACTGGGAAACTAAACTATCTCCTTACCTCTCGTTATTGAAAAAGGCTCTGGGCTGAGCACTCCGAGGGGGTGGTACGTGAGGTCAGTGCAGAGCCAGGCTTTAAAGAACATTTCTCATTCAGGGCCTGTTGCTGACCAGGACAGTAGAGCTATTCCTCCAATAACAACAAACCAACCAAGCATTTCACACTTTCAGAAGCACAGTTCAGTTATTTTCACCTTCCCACACCTGAGGTTAAGCTGCAGGGAATCAGTCAGTGCCATGGGCTACACATGCCTGTTTTCCACGCCCTCCATCGGGAAGACTCACCCCACCAGGCCCCATCCCCAAGTGAGTGCCCAGTGGCCACCACCAGGGACCAAAGGGACCCTTTTCTCCTTGCGGTGCCATGGGCTACACGTGCCTGTTTTCCACACCCTCCATTGGGAAGACTGACCCCCCCAGGCCCCATCCCCAAGTGAGCACCCAGCAGCCACCACCAGGGACCAAAGGAACCCTTTTCTCCTTGCCTGGATGTTTGCCTTGAGGTCCAAGTCGATCCAGACAAATTCCTGAACGCAGAACACTCTGGAAATCTCATCCAAATCTTTTTTGGCTGTATTTTGCAGGGAGTCTTCATCTTCAGTGCTGTCCAAATGACTCCTCTCACGATGGGAAGTTACGTTTTCCCAAAATGGGGCCAAGGGGTTGGCTGGTTCATGGCCTTGTCCTCGATGGTGCTGATACCAGGCTACATGGCATACATGTTTCTCACCCTGAAAGGCTCCTTGAAACAGGTAAGTCTCTCTTTTTTCCTGACCTTGCGAGGTGTGCACACTGATAAAAGATTGCTGGGCGACTGTTTTCTACTCTCTATTTCCTGTGGCCTCACTTAGCCCAGATATTTTTGCATCAAGCTTAAAAACATAGAAACAAGCACCAAACAGACAAAACAAAAACAGTGTCTGTCCCATCTGTCATGAAACCATTTCACCGCGTTAAATGCTGTCCTTATCTCTGGGCTTTGACAGTTCCAGACACTTTGCCTCCCAGCTCCTTACACCTAGAAAACAAAGTAGCAGTTCACAAAAATATGTGAATTTGTCCTTATTAAGGCAAGACACACTGTCGTGTATCTAAGTTCCTATCTCTAAGGAACTGGAATCGGACTAAACCCATGGAACTCCTGGTTCCCATGAGGCTGCTCACAGTGACCCTGCCAAGCACCTCCCTGCAACACCACCATCTCACATCTGAGCTCCTGGGCCAGTCCAGCCATGTTAAGACCCTCAGAGAAGGGTTGCTAAAGGAGTATGGAATGTTAAAAAGGTTATTGATCAGTGCACTGGTTAGTAATTACACACAATTGCCAGACTTCATGGGTTTGCTATCTGGGCACATCCTCACTTTTCCCCCTCCAGCCCATAATCTCACTCTGTGTGTAACAGACACTTGTTCAGCACGAGCACTGGAACACGAGTCTCTGTCCTCTCCGACTGTGAGAGAGAGAGAGATTGTCAAAATGAGTCTGTCAGAATTTCTGGAATATTCTAAAATCCGCTGACAGAGCCATCTTTGCAAAGGGACAGATGATCTTAAGCAGAATTGACGAGTAATGCCTCACGAAATGCTCAGATCTTGATCTAAATATTTGTCTTCAGCAAATTTCAAAAGACTTGGTGATGCTACAAAAAAATTTCTCCTTTTTTTTCCCCCCCCATTGCTTGTTCTTATCTACTACATTCTGACTATCTTTCCCTTGGCCTTACGGGAACGTTTGCGTGCAAAGGGAGAGTTGTTGCTCTGAGACAGAGCTGCTTCTTGGGCAGAGTTGTAGAAGCCCCCAGTAAAAGTTCCTTGTCTCGGTCTTGCTGTGGTCTGGCTTTTGGAAGCACTGACAGATGCCCATCAGCCAACAGAAGGAGCTCTGTCTCGATGTGCATGTGAGCTCAGCCAATAAGCTTTATGAGTTGAGACCGCGTACGGCCTAGAAATAAAATATCTTAATTCCAAGCCTACGTTATCTGTTGTACCCTTGGAGGTAGTAACTCCCAGAAGCTGCAGCCAGTTCTCTCTGGTCCCTTCTGCTCCCTGGGGAGGGTCACCATCACCTCCGAAATCCACCTTTGAGTCCCCCGCCCCAAACGCAGCCTCCGTGTGTGGCCCGTGGGCTCCCAGCAGAGCCTGTCCTCACCCCTCCACAGCCTCCCCTCACCTCTTCTCCCCAGACGTGCCCAGTTCTTAGAGCCTGGTGCCATCTACCATTTGGCACGTGGTCTTTCAACACCCATGGTCAGAACACAGCTAAAACTGGGGGTAGGATTTGGGACTTACCGCCTTTTTTTGGGCCCTTAGGAGATAGACAGAGTTTTTTCATCGACATTCCAATGCCTAGACAGAATAGAAGCAGGATTTTGACTGCCTCAGCTTTATTGTTGTTCTTTAAACAGCGCATCCAAGTAATGATTCAGCCAAGTGAAGACATCACTCATCCCGAAAACGGGCCAGACCAGGCCCAACAGAGCAACTCTGCCAACAAAGAAGCCTACATCTAAACTTCTGCATTGTACAACTACCAACACCGCTCCAGAAAAACAAAAAATATGGTTGAATATGACCACAAATTCATGTCTGAGAATATAATTACCTACCTCTAGTGGCAAAAAAAAAAGGAAAAAAAAAAAAAAAAAAAAAAAAAAATGGGGCCAAGGGGTTGGCTGGTTCATGGCCTTGTCCTCGATGGTGCTGATACCAGGCTACATGGCATACATGTTTCTCACCCTGAAAGGCTCCTTGAAACAGGTAAGTCTCTCTTTTTTCCTGACCTTGCGAGGTGTGCACACTGATAAAAGATTGCTGGGCGACTGTTTTCTACTCTCTATTTCCTGTGGCCTCACTTAGCCCAGATATTTTTGCATCAAGCTTAAAAACATAGAAACAAGCACCAAACAGACAAAACAAAAACAGTGTCTGTCCCATCTGTCATGAAACCATTTCACCGCGTTAAATGCTGTCCTTATCTCTGGGCTTTGACAGTTCCAGACACTTTGCCTCCCAGCTCCTTACACCTAGAAAACAAAGTAGCAGTTCACAAAAATATGTGAATTTGTCCTTATTAAGGCAAGACACACTGTTGTGTATCTAAGTTCCTATCTCTAAGGAACTGGAATCGGACTAAACCCATGGAACTCCTGGTTCTCATGAGGCTGCTCACAGTGACCCTGCCAAGCACCTCCCTGCAACACCACCATCTCACATCTGAGCTCCTGGGCCAGTCCAGCCATGTTAAGACCCTCAGAGAAGGGTTGCTAAAGGAGTATGGAATGTTAAAAAGGTTATTGATCAGTGCACTGGTTAGTAATTACACACAATTGCCAGACTTCATGGGTTTGCTATCTGGGCACATCCTCACTTTTCCCCCTCCAGCCCATAATCTCACTCTGTGTGTAACAGACACTTGTTCAGCACGAGCACTGGAACACGAGTCTCTGTCCTCTCCGACTGTGAGAGAGAGAGAGATTGTCAAAATGAGTCTGTCAGAATTTCTGGAATATTCTAAAATCCGCTGACAGAGCCATCTTTGCAAAGGGACAGATGATCTTAAGCAGAATTGACGAGTAATGCCTCACGAAATGCTCAGATCTTGATCTAAATATTTGTCTTCAGCAAATTTCAAAAGACTTGGTGATGCTACAAAAAAATTTCTCCTTTTTTTTCCCCCCCCATTGCTTGTTCTTATCTACTACATTCTGACTATCTTTCCCTTGGCCTTACGGGAACGTTTGCGTGCAAAGGGAGAGTTGTTGCTCTGAGACAGAGCTGCTTCTTGGGCAGAGTTGTAGAAGCCCCCAGTAAAAGTTCCTTGTCTCGGTCTTGCTGTGGTCTGGCTTTTGGAAGCACTGACAGATGCCCATCAGCCAACAGAAGGAGCTCTGTCTCGATGTGCATGTGAGCTCAGCCAATAAGCTTTATGAGTTGAGAACGTGTAAGGACTAGAAATAAAATACCTACGTTACCTGTTGTACCCTTGGAGGTGGTAACTCCCAGAAGCTGCAGCCAGTTCTCTCTGGTCCCTTCTGCTCCCTGGGGAGGGTCACCATCACCTCCGAAATCCACCTTTGAGTCCCCCGCCCCAAACGCAGCCTCCGTGTGTGGCCCGTGGGCTCCCAGCAGAGCCTGTCCTCACCCCTCCACAGCCTCCCCTCACCTCTTCTCCCCAGACGTGCCCAGTTCTTAGAGCCTGGTGCCATCTACCATTTGGCACGTGGTCTTTCAACACCCATGGTCAGAACACAGCTAAAACTGGGGGTAGGATATGAGACTTACCGCCTTTTTTGGGGCCCTTAGGAGATAGACAGAGTTTTTTCATCGACATTCCAATGCCTAGACAGAATAGAAGCAGGATTTTGACTGCCTCAGCTTTATTGTTGTTCTTTAAACAGCGCATCCAAGTAATGATTCAGCCAAGTGAAGACATCACTCATCCCGAAAACGGGCCAGACCAGGCCCAACAGAGCAACTCTGCCAACAAAGAAGCCTACATCTAAACTTCTGCATTGTCCGACTACCAACACCGCTCCAGAAAAACAAAAAATATGGTTGAATATGACCACAAATTCATGTCTGAGAATATAATTACCTACCTCTAGTGGCAAAAAAAAAAGGAAAAAAAAAAAAAAGAAAAAAAAGAAAAAAAAAAGGTCATCTCCACTCTAAGGGAATCGCCATGGGTATGATCCAACCATCGCGCGAGCTCAGATGTTGACAGTGTTTTGTGTTCTCTGGCAATCCACAGACTGTTAATGTTTTTATCCTTTCACAATAATAGTTGCATATCTTGGAATTTGTAAATTGATGTGCCAAGACCTTTTTAATCTACCTTTTAGCACGACTATTTGAAGTTTTGTGCTGCTGATTTTTAGTAGTTTATCACTATTTCTTACCGCTGAATCCCAAGACTGTTATTTCTGACTTTGCAGGAGTAAAATTCAGTTTGGAATTGTTTTGTACAAAAAAAAAAGAATGACGTATTTTGTAAACAAGTGATTTCCAGTGAAAAAGCCTGCTCTTAAAATTTGCTCAATTCGAGGCCATTTGAGGGGGAAGAGGTTTCCTTCAATTAACAGCAGACACAGCCTTTATGAACATTCCTGGTGCAAATTAAATTAAGTGGCTGTTGGTGGCAAGACAGCAGGGAATGGCTGGAAACGCTCCTGGGCTCAGCCTTGCAGGGTAACATTCCAACAGGATCGTAAATTTGTTTAAAAATATATATACTATTTCTTATAAAAAGAAGATATCCTTGTGAGAATCAATACTACGTGAATCGCAGGTGTTAGAGGCAAAAATACGACTTCTAACTTTTTTAGCAAAATGAGAATTAATACCCAAGAGCTCTTAAAGATTCCTGGGAGTAAGAGAAATACAAAGTATTTGCGATTCAGGCTCGGAGCACTGGAGCTTTTGTTACGCTGTGATTATTCTACGATTATTGCGTTGCCACCAAAATAGAAACCAAATCAATGGCTTAAAGATTGAAGCTTCTCCTTGTAATTCTCATTTAGGGTTTTAATCCACAACTGTTCTTTTTAATCCCTTAAAGGACTTTTGACGGTTTCTAATAAGCAAATTATAGAAAGTTAGCACTTTGAAAACAGTTTTGCTTTGATTTACGCATTATTTGTGGTGAGGAAGGCACGAGGGAAAGTTATTTCAGTGATAGAGATATATATATATATAAAAATATATATAAAAATTCTCCACTCTGGGCTCAGCCTGCGTTTCCCCCATGGCTGGAAAGCCCCTGGGAGTGTTTTTCCCCCCGTGTGGAAAAGGCAGGATCAGCCCCGTCCCGTCTTTCTCGTGTGGCAGCTAAATGACAGGCACAAAGGGTCCGGGGACACGCCGTAGTTGCTGTTTGATTGTAAATGACTGTGACAGAACTGTGCAATGAAACATGCTTTTCAGCAACATTTTTGTGCACCGTACAATGTTAGATAGCACAATTTATGTAGAACTACTACGTGAAAAAAACATGTTAACTGTGAATGTTGGGTTTTTCGTTGTTTTCGTCTGAAGGTGACAAACATGTTCTTGCAATAAGGTATTATTCTCAGAATGTCAAGCACATTATTGTAGAAATAATATATATATAAAATACACATGTATTTCAGACGACATCATAAAATCTCAGAGTAGGTTTGGTAGATTCTAAACCGTTTCATACATAGAGCAACTGTAAAATACTACGAGATCTAAGCTACATCCTAATGGCTATAGCTGAAATACACAAGTCCTGTAAGTCTTTGGGATTTAGAGGAAACCCGTCCATCCCACACAAGCATTATATACACGATCCATACCCATTATACTTGTGAATTTCATTAGACTAAGGATAAAAATTCCAACTTTCTCTTTCTCGTTTAATGTAATCAAGTCCCATGTTGTTCTAAGAAAAATGCAGTATTTAATGTTTGATTGTAAACAATTATGACAGATGTTTGACAGACCTGCTCTTTAGCAAAAAGCTGTACAAACGTATCATATAGCACAAAATAGTGTTGTAGAACTACTGTGTGTAAACTGTGAATAGCTGTATCTTTTTTGTAGTACTTGCCCTGAAAAAAAAAAAAAAAGATTATTGTATGATCATATATGCTTTTTGCAATAAGGAAATATCTGAACACCAAGCAAATCTATCTCTATATAAAAATATATATGTAATATATACATATTCAAAAATATATACAGAGCCTGTTTAAAAGAGTACAGTATTATTTAGTAAATTGCAACCTGTTCTATGGACCAAATGTAAAATATTTATAAATTAAGATGCATTTTAAATGTCTATAAATGGTGTCATAATTAAAGCACGATTGTTATGTAAGTTTCCAAGAGTTTAGAGGAAAAAGAATAAAGGTTATATTATACATTACATTTGGAATTTTGCAGTCTTTCATTGGACAAACCCAACGTGTGTTTTTTCTGTGAAGCAAGTTCTAAATGTTTCACATATTTTTATAGATATCTAAAATACATCCTTTGAGTATCAAAATGCTGCATCACACTTGTGAGGGGTGTCATTAATCCTTATGCTATTTCTGTAATTTAATTAGTGTGAGCATACATTATACACAAAGCTTTAAAGGTGGCAGTTGCCAGCCCTACCTGGCGTCCTGCTGCTCTAACCCTCCCGCGGGCAGACGGCAGCCCTAGAAAAAAGCCTGGATTTTAAAATCAATGTTCCTGGGGCACATTTCCACTGGCAGTTTGGGGTGTGAACTGCGGCACCTGGAGTCACCGAGTCCAAGTTACTGAGGAGGGAACCACCCCAAGGCTGAAGCCACCGGGCTGGTGGCACAGTGGCCTTAGAATAAATAGACAGATTATATATATCTGCAAAAAAATCAGTGTTGTCTGTCTCAGCTGCCATTACACTGAGAGAAGATGTCGAGCAAGGTGCACAGTGTTGTGCCTTACAGCTGCAGCTCTGCTGAGGAGCTGGATGCTCCTCTGCTCTGAATTTAATTATCTAACTGTAAAATTGGAGCAGGACATCATGCTGGGAAAGAGTCTAAGCAATTTAGAGAAGATGATTAGAATTGAAAATGCTCCTGATAGACGCGTCTAAAATCATAGACTTCAAATTCCAAGTGCTGTCCTTAGAAAGGAGCACTCAGATGTAACACGTATGAAGGAGGCTGATCCTGCTTCTGCTCTTAAAATGGCTGGGGAGGAGGGACGGGAGCGGGTTGGGAAAATCACGGATTGTTCTGGAAATGGGAGGGGAAGAAGCAACTTCGATGCTTTTCAAACACAGGGTGGAATTTAAACCACCCTTAATGTTTAGTTCCTGGGCTTTCTGTGTTGCAGCCCTGGGTTACTGCTTCCACAATATACTGTGAGTGAAAGGCTGCGGGTCGGATCAGAGGGATGAGGGTTGGTGCTGGGTGGCTGCCCAGCGCGGGGGGCAAAGGAGGGCTGAGGAAAAGGAACCTGGTGGAAGGATATTGCGTTAGTGCTGTGATATTTCCATGCTCTCCTGGAGGAATTTTCTCTTGCCGCGCTGCAGAAATCCCGACAGCGATTCAACAAGAAAAATGCAAATAAGGTCACTTCTTCCCTCCAGGACTGCAGGATGCCCCGAGAGAAATCCATGTCCTTGCTCGTCAGGAGTATTAGTTCAGCTACATGTGCTCTTATTCTAAAATAGCACTGTGTTGCTTTTGGGGTTTTTTTTGTTTTGTTTGTTTTAAGCCTGCTTATTTCTGGTTTGTTCTGCTCAGACCACAATAGCATTATGACAATTAACTATTTAAATTACTCGCCTCCCGCTGTGGGCTGCTCCGGGGAGGGGTGGGTTTTGCCCAAAGGCAGGGTTATGGGTTCAGGTGCAGATGATCTCACTCTTACCCTACCTGGAAGTAAGCTCCGGGTGGCACCTCCCACCTGCCACCACCCTTCAGAGCTGTGCCCACCTCTGGAACATCCCGTGGAGCAGCACCAGTGGGTTGTGCTAAAACATTCCCACTTCCCTGCACGGTCCCTTTCCCTTCAGGAAGGATTCCCAAGGAAGAGGAGCTCAAAGTCCGTTGCGCTGCTGCCTGCAAGCACAGGCAGAGACACCAAGAGCAAAAAAGCAACAACATAAAAGCTTAATTTCCCAGGAATCTGAACTGATGAACTCAAAGCTAGGCAGAGACACCATGAGCAAAAAAGCAACAACATAAAAGCTTAATTTCCCAGGAATCTGAACTGATGAACTCAAAGCTGAGCGTGAGGGGGGCAGCTGGAGCTGCTGCTCCTCCCTCCAGTGGTGGCGACTTCACCAGACCACAACTTCACCAGCTTCACTGCTCACCCATCACAGCAAGAAGGAAGGTGCCAGCCTTTACAACCTAAAGGGTCTTTTTATCACACACAGGGTCTTTTTTACACCTCCCCCCTCCCTCTTTCCCTCCCCCCACCCTTTTCTTTCTCAGCTTCTCACCCTGCTTAGGATCATAAATGTGGGGGGCAGATGGTGGGACACAACATCAACCACCACCAAACTGGACCTATCTCCAGAAAAACCAAAACACCCCCTGCCATGTGTATATATATATTTATATATATATACATAAATGAGATAGATTTTTTTATATATATATATGGCCAGTTAGTTCTGGTGTCTAGGAGAAGGCCCTGAAGGAACAGCGGTAATTTCTCCACTACCTTCTGATCCTTGCCCATACCTCCACCACTTCTTCCTGTCCTCTCCTGGTAGCCAGATGGGGTGTCACAGGGACAGGTGTAATTACTCCTCCTCCAGGCAGACGAAGCAGCCCTTCAGCAAAGGCAGGGACAGAAAGTGATGACAAAGAAGAGGAGCAGAGGAGATGATCTTCATGACAAGTGGTGCCCACTGAATAGAGAGATGTTTGAAACAAAATCAGTAAGAATGGGGTGGGAGGGAGGGGGTTACTCACACACGGTTTTTCCTGGGTTTCTTCAGTCTAAATATGCCTTACTTCCTCTCTTCCTATGAAGTTGGGGAAAAAAAATAATAAATAAAGATCAGAGCACAAAGGGGAATGAAACAGAGTAAAGTGGAAGATAATGTCAGTCCCTCCAGAAGCTGCCCTAAGGATTCCACGCTGCATTCCTGCCTCTGCAAGTTGAGGCCAGTCAATAATCCTGCCACTCTCTCCTGCTGACACTTTCTGGACAATGAGCAATTTTCCCTTTATTTTTCACAGAAATCTAATTATTTTTTAGGGCTGTATTGTTGTGTTTTGTTCTATTCTTCTGACCAAACACGCAAGTCACTGACTCCAGCAGCTCAAGAGCTCAGTGTGCAATGGCCTCTGGCCGGCAGGTTACAGGGGAGGGACCCAGTAATTCCCCTTCACCCCCTGTACAAGTGCCTCCATTCATTCAAGAATTGCCCCCTATTTTAAAATTTATGAACCGGTGGGGGGACAACTTGCTCACACCATTTTGCAACTTAACATCTGATTATTTACTCCCCTGGGTTTGTAAATGGTCTCACATTAAAATCAGTGGCAAATTATTCAGTGATTATTTCTGACTCTCAAACAGGCTGAAGTAATCTGGTGAGTTATTTGTGAGTCATAAGTACAGGGGGGTGCTAAATGCCCCCGACGCTGCCTAAGAGAAGGAGGGGATGGCTCAGGCCTTGTCACAAGGACAAAAATTAATGTGTTTCGCCAGCAATGGTGCTTTAGTCGTATCGGAATAGCTGCCTTTACATAGCTTTGGAGATAAGTAGCTGAGAGGTTTTTATAAACACGTTAAAGTAGCAGGGAGTATAAGAAAGCCAAAATGTACATGTTAAATGTGTGTCTGGAGTCACCTCTCCACTCCACCAAACTGGATTCCCAGCGAGTGCTGGAAGGGGAATAAGATTGAATGGAACAAGTCACTGCCTCATTACATTACATCAATGCCATTTCTGCTCATTAGAATTATTCTAAGGCAACCTGGGAACATCTAAACAAGTTTAACATAAAAATGCCTGGGAGGTGAGTTTTAGTCTAAAAAAAGGTTTCCCAGCCCCGGCTGGCGCTCGCAGTCCCCAGCGACACCGGTCCCCAGCACGGCTGCTCTCCTGTGGCCCCCCCCTCCCAGCAGATGAGCCGCCGTCCCCATGGACAATCAATTAAAATTAACTACAGCCAGGACTTTGCCCCTCTGCTTGGCCGCCTGCTCTGGCACCGTGGCAGGACCAGTAACACCAGTTAAAACCAGCAGCTCCCACCCAGGCACCCCCGGGGAGCGGCAGGAGGGGAGCTCGGCATCACCCCCCCCAGCTTCTGCCCCAGGTTCTGCTGTTGATCCTGAAGAACAGCTGTGATTCCTGCTGCACCTCTGGCAACATCCCCCAGGGCTCCTCTGGAGCTCCACGTTTCTGCCCCGACGGACTCAACCTCTGAAGCTGGGAGCCACCAAGTATGAGCTTCTGCATATCAAGGGATTTGGTGCTGTGGGAAGGGAAAGGGCTCCCCTGGAATGACTGGGGAGCGTTTTGATGAAGATCTTCTACGAGCAAAACGATAAATCTCTCTCTGAATATAAGCCAGAGCGTCAGGGTGTGTTAGAGAATTATTTCTAGGTCATTTCAGTTCACTGCACCGCGCTGCAAATACTTCACTGAATGGATGACCAAAATAATTAATCAAAACAGTGGAAAGAAACACCAACTCACACTGTAGGCAACTAACTTTGCCCTGAAAGTGACAGAGCTCAGCATCTTTTAACCTGCTCTTTTCCAACTGTCACGGCAGCAACACATGACCTTTCCTGCTGATCTTTCCTCAGACCTATTCTTGGTCCAGGGGGGACCAGGATGACCTTTCCCAGCCTGGTTGCTCCTGCTGTTAGCAAGCTGTATCGTGACAGAACTTGCCTGTCAAGATCTGCTTCAAAATTACAAAATCAGACTCGGATTTTGGTGAAAAACCACTCCACCTCAATCCTCCAACACCACTCAGAGTAAATGACTCCCTCCTTGCATTCCACTTGCCCCTGAAGACACTGAGCTTCCAACAACTGACCCCAAGGATTGAGTGGGTCCAGTGTCCCATCCAAAATAAGAAAGTGCAAGCTGGGAACAAGCCAGAGAAGAAAGATTTGTTGTTGCACAGCTAAATCTTCACCATCACAGCTTACCTGTGGGCAAGGTCTGCAGGGACATCACTGGAGAGTCACCCATACACACAGAGACACTGCTGAATCTGTCCTCATCAGAGGACCACTCCATCATCTATCTTGAATGGTTTCATTTCCATTATTAACTTACAGAGTAAGCACCTGAGGTGTGGTTTTAGCAGTAAATACCACATTGCAGGTATGCACACTAAGGTAAGATCACCACTAAGACATGCAAATGACATGCACCACGTTGTCTTTCATCCAGTGTCTCAAGTCAGCCGA